TCGCAGCAGTAAGCTCTCGACGATATTACGAGGGTGACGCGGGGCTTATCGTAAAGTCCAATTTCAAACTGGTTGGGTTCCAGTCCTCCTCCTTGTCTTCATCCTCCTTATTCTCACCCCCCCCCCTCTAGCCTTGTCCCTAGTTACTACCAGTGTAGAATGAAACACCTAAGGAGCCCCATTCAGTTTCGATTTTCACAGCATTGTTTCCCTCTCCGTCTCGAGAATGATAACACCCTACCCCGTTATTGTATCCATTATCCATTATACATGTAGTGTGTGTTATAATATAATATAATAACTAATAACACTTATTACACGTACATGTTAATATACCTACAAGATACACTATCACAGACCGCAAGTACTTCGACCGTTTTACTCGAGATTCCATCGTAAATGATTATGGTGATTATGATTTCAGTTCAGTATATGTATACCAAGATGGTTTTATTTATTAATTATCCCTGGCATGCATTTGTCAGTGATTATTTAAAGAACGCAAACAATTCACGCAAAACAACTTTGTGAAACGATATGTCACGCGACACGCGAATAACCCATGAAAATTATTACACGAAAAACATAACATAACATAACAGTAGTACAGTAATAGAGCAGCATGCATGTGACAAGGGTTTAGTTGCAGGTGAGAATTTTTAGAGACCAGCATATGGATGTGAAAAATAACTCATGTATTCATTTTTTCTACACCTCTTTTTTTTTGCTTTTATTTATTTAGTGTTGAACAACACGCGTATTTATCAACCTAAATTATTCAACGGATATTATTTTATTTTATTTCAAATCGATGTTCCATTTTATTGTTTAATTTTTTTCGCCGGTTTCAAAAATAAACAAACTACGATGGATTGACTGATTAAAACCCCATGTTCGTTTGATCCCGTGTAGTTTTAAAGTAAACGCATTTATTTATTTTTCATTGCGTACTTTTTATTAATTGAGAAGTAAAAATGAAACAAATTTTACGCTCATGGATCCCAATAATAGTAAATAAAATGAAAAATGAAATGTTTTTTTTTTTTTGCAGTATTGACTCTTTTTGTATAGGTATATTTTTTCATTTTTATATCATATCAAATATAGAGTTTTCGTAACTAAATAAATGCGTCAGTATTTTATTACGCAAAATAATCATCCGCGCGCCAGAACCTCAGTGTTTTGCAGTATATTTTATATTTTATGAGTCTGAGAAGATTTAATATAAATATATGAGATGAAGAGAGAAGGAAATTCATAAGCGAGGAGACTCATATTGTATAACATGTTCATTTGTTTATCATTAAATGCTAATAACAGTGATAGCGAAGATAATAGAGGCACTTGTCGCACGATTGGCAATTTCCCTTCGGGATACATGATTCCCATCTATGAACTAACTCCCTTTCCCAGTCCTGGCCTCTTTCCCCTTCAATACTCTACATTTTCACCAGATAGCTCCAGTACCACACATCGCATTTTCACTTCTGGATAATTAGTATCTAACGGGGTATTTGAATATCACAATGCGCATTCTCTTCACTCCAAATAATTTACATATTTCTACAGTTCGCCCTAAATTAACTGATAATCTATAGCTATTAATTATTTCAATTATCGCCCATTTTCAGGGGCTTTAATATCAAAGGAATTGATTCATTAACTGTAGTTAGATGTTTAAAATTGTAAAAAAAAAAAAAAAATTCCTTCGGGCCGGATTTGAACCAGCGACCTATGGATTACTACTTTCGGAACATACAACTACAGTCCACCGCTCTACCAACTGAGCTACCGAAGGGAGCTAAGGATGGATTTTTTTTTTTTAGTTTTTATGACCGATGAACCTAACTGACATCAAACTTCACGCCTACCTTATAAATATCATTTTTTGATAACTTATCATTAATCAACCAATTGAATTAATGAATTTTTCTCACCCTTTCATTGTTTTTTTTTCTAACAAAGTCCTGCTTTATTGAATATAATTTTATCAGGTGTCATTCAAAATAATTCAGTAGTTTTGTTTTGTCATACTGCAATTTTATATCATCTTTGACTGAAATTAATCAACGTCAACTTACCTGTAAAAATAAAATGTAATATTATTAAAAATTCATAAAGCAAAAGAATTGTTAATACTTTTTAATCTCAGTAAGGTTGTGAGGTTGACATTTACATACCTAATTGATGAACTTTGTTGTTTATAAGATTTGTAGAATTAATATTTGTGAGCTCTGTTATAATCTCTCTGGGTTTTGCAGATATAAATATGTATCATCAGTAGAGATAGTTTGATCAATTAGTTTGTCTTCACTGAAGTCTTTAGAAGTGCACTGTATTACGTTATTGCTATCAATTGATGATTCTTGAAGACTAACTTGATTAGATTCATATGTAACCGTAAAAAATTGTTCATCATTAATTAAATTATTTTGTTCACAGTTTATCACATTAAAATGATTGTCTAAGACAGTAACGGATTGTTATACGTCTTCAATAATTCAGTTTTTGTCACATGTGACCCTATTACTGCTCTGTACAACACCCACTGAACAATAACATCCTCTTCTTTTAAAGATAACACTGTCACTGGCCCAGTTCTAATTTTTGCCTTCTTAGGACTAATACTTTTTCATTTAGCAAGGGTAACAATCGGTACTCCATAAACAGCAGCTGCTTTTCTCAAGGACAACTCTGTGTCTTCCATTGCTTTTAGAGCTTTTTTTATATTTCACGAATTATAATTACTTAATCCTTTTAATTTTTTTTTCCTTCATTTTATTATTCATATTGGAACACAACACTTTTTTTTTTTTTGGTTGAATTTGATGATTGAGTTTTTGTCACTTTGGAATTTTGTTTATGCTTCATTATCTCAGCTTTTTTTTATAATTTACTTTTTACTTACTCTGAAATAATAAGAAATAAATAATATATTTTCAGAATCAATATACAAAAAAATATTATAAATTTATCCAAAAGATTTAATTAAAAAACAGAAAAACTTGTTGACAAAGTTATTCTATGTTATGATTTGAGGTTAGGCTCATGATCTAAAACTATTTGACTTAAAATACTTACTTTTAGAAAAATATTTGAGGTTTAATAGTAGCCAATATTTTATAACATATAATTATACTATTTTTATAATTAATATCACATATTAGCAATATAAAATCTTATAAATGTACACTGTCTCACTTAATCGGGACAAGCCGAAAAACATAAATATGTCCGTATTACACGATACACCGAGAAAAGTGTCTCATAAACCGGGGCATTCACGTAAATAAGTGTAGGTATTGTGAGACATTCATATTTAAAATATTGTAATAAAAAAAACGCATAAATGTGTATAGAAATAAAGTTTATTACTCATCAGCTTTCAATTGATATACAATTTAATATAAAAGTAGAAGACACAATGAAATTACACTAATATAAAAAACTAGGTAGCCGTTGTCGTTTTACTATTCTCGGTCGTGGCTTTGAGCACAGATAACAAACCTCGCACTTTAATAAATATTTTTAAAAAACAGTATGGAATCAATTAACAACCAAAGTCGAAAATTGCTTTTGGAATAGATGAAATAATATATTTATTATACTTTTGGTATGCTAGCGGTGTGTTTTTTTTTATAAAATAGTATTTTTATGTAGTGTATCATAAATGGGGACATCGTCTCATAATAGGGACTTTTAACCTAGTGATAAAACGAAAAAGATGTAATGATAAATTATAATATAGATATTAATAATGAAGTGCATTAAGCAAAAAATTTATCATGGATTATTCGCAGTGATAAAAAATATTTTGCCATTAAAATATTAGATAAAGTCACGCAAAGTGAAGTGAATATAAATATATAATAAAAATAAATTATTGAATATTTAAAATGGAGGGAATTATAACCTAGATTGTAATTTCATAATAAATAAAATATAGTTTATATGCAAGCTAAAAATGTCAAGTATGATCGAATTCTATTAATAATAAGAGATAAAATAAACTCACCGGAAACACCTGATTACTGATTTAAATGAATATAATTTCCTGAATGACGTTCAAACAACAAATTATCCCTCAGCAACAATAAATCTTCAACATTTGACAGCTCGATTGTTTAAACAGTAAAAATACACTCGCGATCGCGTAATGTTATTAAACTACTCGGGTCACTACTTTTCACAGCATTTATTTTATTTACGATATCACTTAAATCAAAACATACACCACAACATCAATTGAAACAACACGTTTATTATAATTTTTACTTATATACATACATAATAGTGTCAGCTGACTGAACTGAAGTGATCTGACATCTTCAATCACAATAAAGTACTTCTAGTTTTAAATTTAAACTAGATGGCGCTGCTTTCGCGCGTTTTAATATTCTGGCGCCATGACATTTGTCAGTGAAAAAAAGAAAAAAAAATTAGCAAAAAGTAGAAGTAAACTTTACAATTATATTACAATAAATGATTTACGATTTATTCATTCCAAACTGAATGAATGAAATAAAGAAGTACTAATTAATTATGCAAAAATAATAATTTAATTTAACTTTTTTTTTTCCAATCTGACGCCACGTTCCTACGCGCGAATTTATCCCGACGTAATTTTCAATTATTTAAGCGGTGATTTACTATTATTTATTATTCTTCGCGATCTATATCCAGTAAAGAACAAAATTACAATAAAATTTCAATTGACAACAACTCATTGTTATTATATTTTTGTAATAATACGGAGCGTCAACCGTGACTTGTCACCAATCGAGCGGGAATGACGACAACGTTACTGCGCATTATTCTTGGCGCATACACTAACGCTATAAAAGTCGCGCGACAAAAATAGGTACTAATCTATTACCATTATTATTGTTATTTTTACAAGTGTGAAAATAAATTAAAAAAACATATACCGGTATAAAAAATATTGCATATAGTTAAAAAAAATTTTTTAACGAGATAAGTTATTAAAAACACCATCCGGAATGTTTAAACAAAAATTAAAATCTTTAGATTATATGTTTTGGGATAAGGTTAATGCAAATGGTAAGTTGTATATAAAAATAATTAAAATTTATTTATTTATGTAAATAAAATTGAATGTTTAATAAATTTTAGATACTGAACATTTTCGAAAACTGGTCAGTTGGTTAGAGGATCAAAAAATAAGACATTACACAATTGAAGATCGAGCTGGATTGAGAGAAATCACGAAGCCTGACTGGGATAAAAGCTTTGATAAATTTATTTTGGATGTGGGATGTCCAGTTACTACTTCTAATTTGGATAAACTTGAATGGTTGATTGGTCTGGCTGTAAGACTTGAATATGAAGATAATTGTATGTTTAATTATTTGAAATTTATAATGATTTATATGGCGTTAATATTTTGTTGATGTTGGGTTTTCATTTCTAGTAAATAAATATCAGAAGGTAACGAAAAATAAGGAAGCAGATGCCGCGGTGCCTAGTATCAAGTCAACAAATCCTTTGGATAATTTAGATTGTAAGTCTTTCTGAATTATGAATGTTTAATGTTCAATTTAATATTTTTTTTATTAAACAAGATTTTTATTGATAAATATTTGAATGTTTTTTTTCAGTTGAAAGCAATGAGTTTAAAGACCGAGTCAACGCGATGGCAAAATTACTCAAAGTTGCGCAACATCCAGATCACCGTGTGACACTTGAAGCTTGTAGTAAGTATGTAACTCAGAGATTAAATTCCAATGCGTTGAAAAATCCGTCGAGTGTTGTGATAAAAGGGAAACCATTCCCAATAATGGAGACTGAGATGGGTTTCGACATGGGTGACAAAGTACTGAATAACACTGCAAAAGCGCTCAGTTTATTGTACATCCAAGATCTGAGGAATCTCCAAACGGGAATCAATGAAGCAATCGTCGCCGTACAAAATATAACCGCTGATCCTAAGACTGACACCAAAGCTGGAAGGGTTGGAAGATAGATTTTTTCATAGGTACTCTTCATCCAGCTGCCAACATCACTGCTTAGTTTGATTATTTTCTAAGTTAAATCTTAATGGGAAAATAAAAAACGTGCTCATAATTAATATATTAATCAAACTTACCGTAAAATTAAAATCAATAATTTTGATAAAGCACTACTTAGATTTGAATACTCTAAATAAAATTCATTTCAATTAAAATAGACTAGTCAGTTACGAAAAATTAAATTTTTAGTACGGAAAAAATTGAGTCAGAATTAAAATTGTAACGTGGTACTTTGATAATAAATATTTATTAAATTTAAAATTACAGATGTTGATTGAGTGATCGCATGGAATTTCATACAATTGTACTTAGAATATTTGGCAATTTTAAAAATACATAAAAATAATTGAGAAAAAAAATAAATTGCAGTGTAAACAAGCAACGAGAGAATATAAATACTTATTTTTTAAAAATTGCAGATAGAGTATAAAAGTCGCCACTTTTGTCTAGATTTATAATTATCTTTACAAGTTATAATATTTTTAAAATTGACCTTACATCAAATGGAGCAACATTTGACAATGGACTAATAAAATTTGAATATAGATTCAAAAGCTTATTATAAAATTTAACAGCATCAGAGTGACAGAGATGGGATTGTCGTTTAAAAATAACAAGAATAAAACTTAATTCATTGTGAAGACACCGTGGTATTTCAATTAAAAACAATATATAAATCGTTGTGATTATGCTTTAAAAAATATAAACTAACAATTATGCTAGCCTGCATAGATTGCGATTTCCGGAAGGCACAGTATGTAATGGTTGTTGCCGACGACTATTGTCTTCATCTTGCAGAGAAGCTTGGAGAGCTCTTGCAAGAGCTTCGTCTTCGCTCATACCTCCCTGAATATTACGGAATGATTGTCCATTTGTCACTTGTCCATTACTATTACTACCGCTCCCAGAACTACTCTGCTGCTTGGCTTTCTTCTTCAAAGCCTCCAACCGCTTCAATCTCACAGCCTCTTCATGACCGATGCAGTTGTGGTCGACCGGATGTCGGTGTTTCAGACAGAAATTCATCCCACAGTCCTTGCAATCTACCCGAATTATTTCTTTTATTTTACAACCCTTACTTGAGCATTTATTAACGAAGACTTTTTTCTTGGCGTTACTTAAATCCGACTCGCATTGATTGTCAATGTGCAATCCAACGGCAATGTCTGGTGTATCGCCGCGTTTTATTGGTATTGGAACGTGGCATAATGGACAGACTGGTACTTGAAAATCTTTTTTATACGCACTTGGACATGAGTGACTTAAATATGTTATGTGATCACTGCAGAATGATTCCTCACAGGCATCACATTTCATTGGTAAAAAATCCAGTCGGTTACAGGTTTTTTCTGAACAATGTTTTCCAATGTGTGGTAATTCCATTTTTTTTGTAATCTAAAAAAAAATATAAAAATATTAATTTTAAATTTTATAAAAGAAACACTTTTTTTTTTAAATCAATAACAATTTTTTACACATCAATTAATTATAAATTTTTTTTTTTAAAAAACATTAAACATATGTAGAAATTATGAATTTCGTAAAAATTATTATTGACAAATTTTTTAAACAGATAATAATTTAAATTTAATATAAAAATCAATAATATAATTTTTTAATAACAGTAGAAGATAAAACTCATAATTAAAAACTATTAATAAATTTTTATTATAAATAACTGTAATTATTAACTCCAATAATCAAACTGACATTAAATTTTGAGACTAGTGGTCAATGAAATATTGTTTTTATAAAAATTTACAATAACTTTTTGTACTAAAACAAAAAATTTCTCATTAAAAATAAAATAATAAATAATTTAATAATAAAAACTTACCACAATAAGTGCAATTGCAACAACTGATACCAAACTGACACAATGACTAATAATCAAATGATTATATATAAATGTATATTACAGTACACGTATGATGTAAATAATGAATAAAATTCGTCAAGTCATATCACCAACAGCCCAACTGCCTTTAACAACGTGGTTATTCACAAGAAGGTATTGCGTCAAATGAACTAAACCTAAGGAAGCTTTAGCTTATATTAATATAATATAATAAGGAAATTTTTTTAGGAGTAAAGGTATAAAGGAATATGTAACAAAAATGTTTTGTCATGGCGTGAATGGCGTACCGTACTCTAGCGACATCTTCCTGGCTTACACTCACACAGACACACGTGAGCTTGACGTAGATGTGACCCATGTGCTCATATGACCGAACCACTTACCAATAAACGTAAACAAATCAAAAGTCAATAATGTTGAAATCCTCAAACTATAAATTTATTTCGACAAAAATAATTAAAAAAGAAAAATAAGATAAAGATACATTTTTGCAGTAACTTTAATGAGAAAATTTTCCTCTAAATGGTGGTAAGTCGAATATGCGACTTGTTCCAAGAAATATAAACCCTGTAAGTAAATGTCATTAGTAAAATTAATATTTTCAAAATTTATTAATTAATTAACTATTGAAAATTAATTACCCCCAGCTATTGCAGACATGACAAATTTCCCAGGAGTTTTATTGAATTTTTTCGAGTGGTACGCGACGTACAGTCCTGCTCCAATTAACCCCGAGCCACTGACAATTCGACATGCCAAACAGTCACGATCGCGATTTGTTATTATTGAGGTAGTTGACATTTTTTTTTTTTTATAAATAAAAATTGAAAATTATTTTTTATTCGTACAATTTATATTCAACCAAACTTAACATTTTTATCAGGTTATAAACTTATAAACATAATTTCAATACAAGATAGCAGAGTCATCAGTCGGCGGTTGATGAAAGGATATTTTTTGGATTATTTGTATTTGAAATATTTACTTTTCATATCAATTATCAATACAGCGTGATCAAATATTTTTTGTCAACAAAATACCTGATGAGATAATTCTATCTGTATTCAATAATTTAACAAAATAATTTATTAATTGAAAATACCAAAAAAACTCTTAATGATTTCCGATATGAATACATGGAATATGCTGAGTAAGTATTTTATTTAAAAAATTAAAAATGCCTGAATGAGATGATATCATAAAAAAAACCCTACTTATAAATCTCAAGGTTCCATTGATCGAAGTTGTATATCGTGCACCCACAAATGGACACCAGCAGCAAGTGAATCGGCGTTTCATATTCAATGACGAACGGAGTGAGTAGATCATCACCAGTTTACCAATTCCTTTTACGACGCCTCTCAGCTGGATGGTCTTCACAAACGTTCCACATCCGTTTCGCGGTCCCCACAACAAACGCCTGCGCATGTATGACTCTCATCATCATCATCATTATTATCAACACGGTACGGCATACATAAAAATACAAATAAAAAAGACTACGTAATCCTCTGCTGTTCACGCAAACACATTACATCTACAAAAGCACTTAACTACTCTTACATTTAAACTAAACCGTATATAGTTGTTCTCAACAATCGTCTAATTGTTTCAAGTGCTGATAAAAAATTTTATCAACAATCTTTTCATGACATAATGCTATCTATGCTTATTCAAACATCCAGCCGTATAATACTTATGTGTAATGTGTACTTTACTCTTTGCTTTTCAGCACAATAAATTAATTACCCGTAAAGTTAATTATTTTTTGCTGGACCGCAAAAATGAATAAGAGAAGAAAGAAGAAAATAAATAAGTTGGAGTAATTTGAGCCTTCAAAAAAAGGCCGATACCTGATATAATGCAGCTAAAAAATAACATAACATGAAATAAAATAATAAAAAACATTAACCAACGGAACAAATGCACGTTCAGTCATGTGAATTGTTTAAGTATTAATATATCGTGTCGTTAAGTACAATCGACATGACATCGTGACTGTAAGAAACTCGTTTCTTCCTTGAGAAAGGTCCTCGGTGTTTAGATCGCGTAGGAGGCTGTAAGCTCCACAGTTATGACAACCTGGTCCCAGTCCCGGTATTATACACCAACATACATTTATTATTATATTTGTTGTATTACTATATATAATAATAATACTACTACACGATCTTTTGGAGTATACAACTTTAGACTGAGAGTCAATGAAAAAGAGTGGGCTCTGCATTCTTAAACTTTTATATTCAATTATAATTATAATTAGATAAGTCGAAATTTTTTTATTATAATTTATTTATGATATAATTTTTAATAAAATGTTAATATATTGGAATAATAATAATAATAATAATAATAATAATAATAATAATATTATTATTATTTGTAGGTATGTATGTATAATATGCAGTGGGACTCTACTTAGCTCGACGGCTAGATCCCCGCGATTTAGCTTAGCTCAGCTCTTGTACGCGGCGATACCACGACGACACGAACAGAAGAAACGAGGAGAGCGCTGCCAGTAGACCAGGCCAGTCCTGGCCAGACGCTTCGGCGAGCACACGCGCTCTTAATTTTTCTCCTAACCGCGAGTTTTATTTTTAAATCTCTCGGATTTTAAAAAACTTTAAAATAATTTTTTTTGCGTAAGTTATTATTTGAATAACTGTGATCAATTACTTGGATTAATTAACTGGAGTTTTGAAAGAGGTGAGTGACTTATTATTTACTTTGACGTTTACACAATTGACAACTTGAACTTAAAACTCGGGTTTAAAAATTTAAAACATCAGCGAATAATATTTTAAATGTAAATTACATTTTATTATAAAAATCATGAAGTGGCAATTTATCGTACACGTAGACTTTAAAGTCAAGTAGAGTAAAAATGTTTCGAATAAAATAAAAATCTAAATAGGCACAATGCCAAAAAGCAGTTTAAGGTTTATAGCGCATAGCAGTCGTCAGTCAGCTTGAGATGCTGAATATAGTCTGGTTTGTCGGTTTAGTCATCGTCTTTACACCGTTCACATCAACATACACGCTGTAATAACAAGGCCTTCGATGAATTTACAAGTAGTTACTTGTAATTATTACCTCAGTACCCGGTTAAAAACCATTTTTAATCTCTATTAGCCTACTAACGATTTAGTATCTAGTCTCGAAAGCCTCTTAAGAATATCTAGTGAAATCGAAATGGAAATCACGCCTCAAAATTACTGCTCTATTATCGAGATTAATCTCTCTTGATACCAGTAAACCTGTGTACACATTAATTATTAATTTTTCGCTTTATCTTTATTATCATTAGCCTCTTCCTCTGCATCGGTATAAGTATATCAGTATAAATAAATTAATTAATGTTTTCAAAATTAATCATCGGCTATTAAGTAACAATGAAAGAATAAAATTGCAGTCCATAACTCACGTCTCGTGGTTTAGCTTGCTTGCGTGGGTGTAAACGAGATGAGTCTGGATGCTGTCTATTTTGGCACTACAAGTGAATAACAAATCTTACATTACATTAATACAAAAATTATATCAGTTTCTGGTTAAAAAAAAAAATAATTCCTTTTTTTATTTAAATATATTTTTTAGCCTAAAAATTTATCGGCAGAATTAGCAACTTTTTTTTATTTAAAATTTATGTTAAAATTAGTTGAATTAATTAAATTTTATTTTTGGCTCGTTTATTTATTTTAATTCTAAAATTTATGAGTTTTTTTATTAATGTTAATTGATTAAGCATTTAAAAATCACAACCTTTCAATATTTTTTTCGAGTTTCTATTTATATTTTTAAAACTGCATCCTTGAGCTATTATAATATTTTTTATTTCTGAATTTATGGAGAATATAAATAGAGCAGTATATATATTTTGAAAAATATACCCTCTAAATTGTTTACAACTCAAAAGAAGCGTAGGCGCGCTTGTAAACAATGACCGAACTTTTTAACAATTAAAACTTAAGATTTTAAAAATAAATTATATTAAATTTAATTTTAGCGAGACCGTGAAAACATTAATATTTTCTGTCAAGAGATTTCTCGAATAAAATTTCAAGTTAATTAATTTTGTTGTATAAAATAAAAATAATTGTGCCAAGAAAAGTTTAGTAGCCGGCTGTTAATTATTGTCGTAGCCTTAAATAAATGGTAAAAATAAAAGTAAAAATATCCATAAAGAAATGAAAGATGATCTGTAGTTGTAAGTCGTGAGCCTCAAGGTAAAGTTTCATTTCATTTTAACATGGACCCACTGACAATCAAGACTGACGTCATCTTTCATTATTAAATTTTCATGGTTAGTAGAGCGTTGAAATGGCAATCAACTTGATCAATGAGATAATGAGTAACGAGTGTTAACATGACAAATCAATTTTAATAAATTGCTAAAAAGTAGGACACTTTGTTAACAAAATAATAGATCATAGATCTATTACAAACATACAATAAATAATAATTACTTTGTGTTTGACAATGTCTAAGATAATACCGTTAAGCTAATCCATCAATGGAATAATATTTA